TACAAAGCGAGTTCCAGGACAGCCAGGGTTACTCTGTGAAACCCGGTCTCAAAACACGAAACAACAACAAAAAATACAAGAAAGAAAAGAAATGTGTCTCTGGTATTTTCTGCAATGTTTAACACTACAGTTTAATGTTTAACATACATTTACAGTGTACAAGATGGTTTCATTCTTTCTGGTTTGTTTCCCTGTCTCTCTGGCTCTATGCATCTCTCTATCTCTCTCTCTCTCTCTCTCTCTCTCTCTCTCTCTCTCTCTCTCTCTCTCTCTCTCTCTCTCTCTCTCTCTCTGTTGTGCAGACATTTCCTCTGAATTGAAACAGTCCACTTAGGGGCCAGAAATCCTACAACGTTCTCTCTCTATGCCTCTCTCTGTCTCTTTGNTCTCTCTCTCTCTCTCTCTCTCTCTCTCTCTCTCTCTCTCTCTCTCTCTCTCTCTCTCTCTCTCTCTCTCTCTCTCTCTCTCTCTCTCTCTCTCTCACTGTTGTGCAGACATTTCCTCTGAATTGAAACAGTCCACTTAGGGGCCAGAAATCCTACAACGTTCTCTCTCTATGCCTCTCTCTGTCTCTTTGTCTCTGTCTCTCTCCCTCTATTTCTGTGTGTATCATTCTGTTTCTCTCCCTCTCTCTGTCTCTGTCTCTCTTTGTCTCTCTCTCTCTCACACACACACACACACACTGCTATTTGGGGTGTTTGGATGGATGGATGGATGGATGGATGGATGGATGGATGGATAGATAGATGAGGTCCATATAGAGAAAGTCTTTGTTCTTGTTGCTGTGATTTTAGAAAACAAAATGCCCTGATAAGAGCAACGCAAGGGGAACCCGGGTTATTTTAGCTCCCAGGTCAAGGCACAGGCCATCATGGTGCGAAAGTCAAAGCAACAGCAGCTTAAAGCAGACGCTCATCCCACACCCACAGTCAGGACAGAGAGGGACGGGTGCCGCCACTCGGGTCTCCTTCTCCCATTTCACATCCCAGGATCCCAACCAGGGAAGTATTGCTGCCCACAGTGGGTGGATCTCCTCACCTCAACTGATTATCACTATACCCACCCACAAGAATGCCCCAGAGGCCATCTCCAGATGAAACTAGGGTCTGTTAATGGGCAGTCAACATTAATCATCCTCAGTGGTTTACTAGACTTTCTTTCTCCAAAGGGAGTGCTTACATGACTCACCATTAGTCTGCTGGGGTTGATTATGCTGTGTCTCATGACAAACAATCCAAGTTTCCACGGCTCATAATCACAACCCTCTGTTGCTCTCTTCAGTCGTTCGGAAGGTCAGATGGGGCCACTCCATTCCTGTATACAGGCCAGCTTCTGGTCCCTTCCAGGGGTCTGTCTTCTTTCACTGAGAATTCCCGGGGCATTCTCTTTTTGTGGCAGGCGGAAGCAGGACTTGGGCCAAGCTGGACAAGCAGATAAACCCACAGCTGCCAGCCACTGACTTAGGTGCTCGAATCCCATTGGTAAATCAAAGCATATGATTACCTACTTGTGGCAGGAAGGGATGGTCTTCCAGAAGCTAGAGGAATCTGGAGCAAGGATGGCAAGACAGGTAGGATGCAGATAAACCATAGACTCTACCGCAGATTAAAATTGGGTGGTAGGATTGGTTGGTTGATTGGTTGGCTGGTTGGTTGGTTGAGACTGAGTCACGTGGATGTCCCTAAGCTGCCAGTTCCAAGCTCCCTGATGCTTATATTGTTTTCACAGCGAAAGAGACTGGCTGGTGTTGGCAGCAGGTCAAGGGGCATGGACATTTTCCATTGGGAAGTGATATTGGGGGTGTGGTGGGTAGAGAAGATGGATGCTCCTATTTTCACGTTGTGTCACCCTGACCTCTGTTCCTCATTCTGGATCACACCCTACCAGCTGCCATTTCAAAGTGACACTCAGGTGAGGGTGTCCTGGATGTGGGCTGTCCTGCAGTGTGTAAGGGGAGGGAGGAATGAGAGTGCCCGTCCGAGGCAGGTGACCGCTGGGCTTAGACAGTGGTGATTCCCAGGGAGAAGACCGGGGCATGTGGTCAGACAAGCACTTGAGAAGCGAGCCGTGGAGATGTGTGTCCAAGAGAACAGCTGCTGGTCCTGCTCTGTAATCCCAGCACGGAGAGACTGAGATAGCAGGGTCATCACGAGTGGAGGCCAGCCTGGGCTATACAGTGGGTTCCCAGCCAGCCTGGGCTATACAGTGGGTTCCCAGCCAGCCTGGGCTATACAGTGGGTTCCCAGCCAGCCTGGGCTATACAGTGGGTTCCCAGCCAGCCTGGGCTATACAGTGGGTTCCCAGCCAGCCTGGGCCAGAGTAGAGACCTTGTCTCTAAAGGAAAAGAGAAGAGACAGAGACACTGAAAGAGAAGAGGCAAAAGACAAGGAAGGAGACAAAAAAGGGGGAGGGAGGAAGAGACATAAGAGAAAGAAAGCGGGAGAGAAAAATAGAGGAGAGAAGGAAGGAGAGGAGGTGGGGGGAGAGAGGAGGGAAGAGAAGAGGAAAAGAGAGGAGAATGGAAGAGGAAAAAGTATGAAGCCAGAAAGTGTGGTTCACCTTACAGGAGATAAATTGGCTCCTTGCTTGTCAAAGGGACAGACAAACTGAGAAAAGCCTGGTGTTCAACCCTTGAGCAGTGCTTATGGGGCTGAGAGAGTCGGGCCATGCAATTCAAAGTGTCCACCTGGCAGGCTCAGAGCCAGAGCCATTTGATCCCAGGCAAATCCACTCTGCTGGCTTTGCTCAGCCTTCTATCATCTCCTAAAGATAAGTTCCCCTTTATGGGAGCTTTGAAGCCAGGGGCACAGCAAAGGGAATCACTCTCTTGAGGCTGAAGGCTGTGGGAGAATGCTCTTGTACACTGTAAAGATTTGTCACTTGTATTGGTTTTAATAAACCACTGATTGATCAGTAGCTGGGGCAACCAGACTAGGAGAATTCTGGGAAGAAGAAAGGAAGAGACACAGTTGCCAGCCAGATGAGGAGGAAACAAGACAAGAATGCCTTATTACTGGGAAAAGGTACCAAGCCACATGGGTAAGCATGAAGAAGAATTATGGGTAAATTTAATTCATAAGAGCTAATTAATAATAAACCTGAGCTAACAGAACAAAAAGTTTATGATTAATATAAGCCTTTGTGTGTTTATTTGGAACTGAACAGCTTCAGAACTGGGTGGGACAGAAACTTGCGTCTACAGCTGAAGGTTTGACTTTGGGTGTTTGCTGATAGAAACAGATTCACTGATCTCTTTGGGGGAAGGATGCTCTTATAGTTTTGTTTTGTTTTAAGTGTTTTGAGGGGAAAAAAACTTGGGCCCATTCCCGCTCTCTCTTCCCCAACACTCCTCTGAAGAGGCTTCTCTCTCTGTGTGTCTCTCTCTCTGTCTTCCCACAGGCCACTCTGAGCTCCCCTTCTCTCTCCCTTTTCTTCATGCATCCCGCCCAATAAAACCCTCTACATGAAAAAGAATTTTGGGGAAAAGAGCTGGGTGGTAGTAATGCACAGGCCTTTAATCCCAGCACTCGGGAGGCAGAGACAGGTGGATCTCTTTGAGTTTAAGGCCAGCCTGGTCTACAGAGGGAGTTCCAAGACAGGCTCCAAAGCTACAGAGAAACCCTGTCTCAAAAAAAAAAAAAAGTTTTTGCTTCTTTTCTGAAAGAGTACAATAGTAAGGACCAGCCAGGGACCACAGCTGGGAAGAGCTGAGCCCCACAGGGGTGCAGAGACGATACGTCTGTGCTGTATGCCAAAGTCTCTTCTGTTGTGATTTTTCAAGTCTTTTGACCACGCCTCTGCCGCCACAGGGTTCAGCGTAATCCAGCAGGTGACCTGAGATAATGACTCAGTCTGTAAAGCCCTTACCTTGCAAGCCTGAGATCCTAACCTCAATGCCATTGTGAAAGCTGGGCTTGGTGGAGTGCTGTGATCCCACTGCCTGGACCTCACTGACTAGCCGCCTACCCTCTTTGGTGATTTCTGGGCCAGTGTCTCAAAACACAGGATGGATGGTACCTGAGGAACAGCACCTAACCGTGCCCTCGGCGCCCCCATACCTGTGCACACACACACACACACACACACACACACACACGGGAACACACACCACCTGCTTGGTGACTGCGGTGAGGCCCATTACCTCTACCTGCAATTACCCACGTCACAGACCACAGCCTGGTTATCTTCATAATGCAGGAAACATAGGTTCTAGAACTATCACAAGGCCTTCAGGGCCAGCCTGTGCCTCTCTGGTAATGGGGTAGTAATTCCTGGTTTCTCCTCCCCCAGTTCCTCCTCCTCTCCATCCCTAGAGGGGAATCAATGCTTCAGCTCCTCAGTGAAAGAATGCAACAAGAGCAGGGGACGGGGCTGCTCTGCACAGCCTTGGGTCCTCCTCCAACAGCTAAGACTGGCTTTGTAAACTAAATAATGACGAGCAAACCAGGCCGCTCCTCACCCCAGTTTCTCCATCTGTAAAGTAGGGTGGGAATTGTCAACAAAAAACATAAAGCTCTTGCTCCAAAAAGAATAAGAAATTATTTATTCTGAGCCAAACGTGAGTGATCACGGCCTGGCAACAGACATTCATGTTGCCCTAAATGATAAACCATCCTGGAAATTGTGACATGATTTTTTTTTTATTATCACCAAATAAAACAAAGTCACAAATCAATGAATTTACCAAATATACTGGTGATAGAATTAGGTAGGTGGCTGATGGCAAGGCAGGGATGTCTTTTCGGTGGGCTCTGGATGCTGTTCCGTCTTAGTTTGGGGGTTAGAAACTCGCAGTCGGCTGAGTTAGTACGTTCTAACAGCTTTATCTGTTAGGTCAGATACACAGTTTGGTGACACATAACTATTAGGGGAATAAAGATAACCCAAGATAAGTTTTGGCTCTCGGTCTGTACATTCCAATTCTCCATAATCATGAAATTCTAACCAATCAGCCTGCAGATGCTTCCCAAAAAAGTGCTGTTTTTTTGTTTGTTTGTTTGTTTGTTTGTTTTCATGGAATTTCAGCTCATAGAACCACACTTACTGACTGGTCTCTGCTGTTCCGAGACGAAAACAAGATTTTCCCACACCTGTCAAAGGTTAAAACACAGCTGTGTTGAACTCTATTCCCCAGCTCTCTCCCCGCCCCCACCACCACCACTACTGAACGAGGCAGTTCAGAGTACGCTTTATTGAAGTAGAAAAGCCAGGATTAGCCTCATTCGTCATATGGGGAGCTCTCACAATGGAAAGCTCACTCACGTAGCCCGCTATGAACTTGACTACAAGGAGGAAACAGAACTCATAGTTATTATCAAAATTCTTCATTCATGGCAATTCTTACCCAAAAAGTATTAAAGATTTTAGATATACAAATCTAAAAATATCATAGAGCAATTAACAGTAGGACTTGCTTTTAAACCACTCTTCAAAATATGCCAGGTGTCTCTTCTCTTTCTCTAGTCCTTGGAGAGGGGGCTTGCATGGTCTTCTTGTAGACGCCACCCTCTTCCGTGTCATCAAGGAGAGAAAGTTGGCTAGGTGCCCCAGACAGGACTATGACACCTGCCCTGCAACCTTCCTGTGTTGGCTCTGGAAGCAACCCTCGCTGCTGGGGGACTCGTCCTTCTGTGGGTTCACTGTGCTGTGTCCAGACATCTCAATCCAGGGATGCTGAAGGACCTGGTGGGCTGTGTACCGCTTCTTGGGGTCCACCACCAGCAAATGTCTCACCAGATCTTTGGCAGCTGTGGAAGGCAGAGAAATTGGGGAAAGAGTGATAGATACAGGTGGCTTTATGGTATTCTTTCCTTCCAAGCCATGAAGTGGAAGCCCACACTTCCACATCAGCACCATGGGAATGCTAGCAAGCTTTCCTTGTTTGGAATAGGAGGACAGGAGTTGGAAACATCCCAGACATGTTCCAACCACTCATAACCCCGAGCACTAGAGATGAAGTTAAAGCTAAAGTAGGAGGATAGAGTACTTGAGTCTGAGCTAGCCTTGGCGAGCTACATAGTGAGTTCCCAGATAGTCTGGGCTGCAGAGTGAGGTCCTGTCTGATAAAACATAATTTAAATAAAAGAAAAAGAAAAGAAATGAAGTAAAGAACAGGAAAAAGAGAAAGGGGAAGGAAATAAGAGCCAGGGGAGAAAAGAGGAGGAAAAAAAGGAGAAAAGGGGAGGGGAGGGGCGGAGGGGAGGGGTGGGGAGAGGAGGGGAAGAGAGGATAAAAATCTGCAGACAAAAGGAAAAGTAGGGGAGGAAAGAAAGAGGAAAGGGAAGAGAAGAGGAAATGGGAAAGAAAGAACAGGGGAAGAGAGATCCGGCTAGTGGTGTTGAATAAATGAAACCTTACTTTATTGACCCTGGAATAATTCATTTAGAATTAGCCAAGGGTAAGCAGGGCTAGATAGCACAGCTGTAGCAGACAGCTGCTTGCTTTTTCCAGGCCCACTGCTGACACCCATACACCCAGGTCAAGGAAACAGAGCGGGCACCACATCTACACACTTTAAATTTTTATATCAAACTAACCAAGTTTTAAATAAAACATGTTCCCTTTTCCTAAGCTGATAAATATTCTTGCTTACTGACAAAACTGAAAACTATGCAAAGAAACCTAAGCAGCCGTTAGCACTAACTCAACTGAATTTCACCTTCCACTCAAGTCCATGCTGAGCCTAGAGAGATGGGGACTCTGTTGGAAGTCAGACCCCCACCTCCTACCCCACCCCTACTCCCTTGTCCCCCACCTCCCACCCCACCCCACCCCACCCTCATACCCATACCACCCCCCTCCCACGCCACACCCACACCCATACCCCCCACCTCCCACCCCACACCCATGCCCATACCCTTCCACCTCCCACCCAACTCCCACCCCACCTCCTTATCCCCAACACCCTTACCCCCCCCCCCAGGGGCTACAAGGGAAAAGCCTCACAGATCTGGTCCTGCCCCACTGCAATCTCCTGTGGATGATTGACAGTCCACATCCAGCTGCTGTAAAGAGACTCCCAGCAGCTGCAACCCTCTGTCCTCACTAAGAGAGCCTAGCCCCTTCTCCCCTGCCTGGGAATCAGAGGCAACAGGAATGTAGGCACATAGCATAGCTTACATATTAACTAAGCCTGCTTCCATAGGATCCGGAGCCACTACTACCCCCCCACACCCCTCTCAGAAACTTTTAAATAAAGAGACCTCCTTTGTCTGGTAGAACTTGAAGACTCTTGCTTCAGCCCTCCACCAGGCCATGCTAGTCCGTCTGTGGCTCCCTTGAGGGACACTCAATTTAGCTTCACTCTCAAACCTACCCACTTCTCTCTCCCCTCCAAACCTAAATGGTAGGTGATGTGGGACTCTCCTCTGTATGCTGTGAATACCACTGGTTAATAAAGAAACTGGACTGGCCTGATAGTGTAGAACAGAGCTAGGCAGAGAAAACTAAACTGAATGCTGGGAGAAAGGAGGTGGAGTCAGGGGAAGCCATGGAGCTAGGTCTGTAATGGTGGCAGCTACTGATACCTCCTAGCAGGAAAAGGAGCCACAGTTGATAGTCCAGCCATTATTCCCTTCTTCCTTCCCTTGACTATGAGTGATCTTGGAAGGTGCTGGAGTATATGAAAAATGGATGCTGACAGCAGAGGTGGCTCCATAATCCACAGGCCATCATCCATGATGGGGTGGAACTATGCAGTGATGCAGCTGTGTTTGGGCCACACTTGTTCCTGTACATCACTCTTCATGCCTACTATGAAAGTAAATTCAACAAACTCACTGGTTCCCCAAGTGGCACTTTTAGGAATTGCAGCTTTGGTCAACACTTGTTCATGCCTACTGTGTAGGCTGCACTATATGCCACATTGTTGAAGACAATGGCTTTCCAGACTTTCCTTGCCTTGAGAGGCTCCATTCTATAAGTAGATTTTGACTCCATGGGAGCAGGGCTGGACACCTGGGTTAACACATGACTGGGACAGTCCATCCATCCTGAGGATAGGGCGGACACGTGATTTGGTCAGTCCATCCATCCTGAGGATAGAGGGGGCTGAGTACCTGGGTGAACACATGACTAGGACTGTCCACCCAGTAGCACTTACAAGGCTCAGCCTATACTGTATTCCCCGAGAGTAGAAAAGTTACCACTTACAAATGTATTGGAGTGGATTGAGGCCATAGGGAACATGGGCCCCAGGCCCAAACACTTAAACACACCAGACTAAGAAAAGGGTGCAATACCCTGACTTAAACCCAGAAAGAGGACGCCCAGCACTGCACTGGCAAGAATCCCCATCAGCCTGTGATACCTGGTATATGAATCAAGGACCAACAGGCAGAGTACTCCCAGGTGTCCCTGGGGCTTCAGTTCAGCTCTGTCCCCACTGCTGATACAGCCTACCCAACTGTTACAAACCTGAGGTGGCATTTCAATTGTATTTTAATAAAGACTGTCTGAAGATCTGAGAGTCAAACAGTCCCACTGGTCAGCCTTACAGACCAGGTTATGGCAACACACACCTTTAATCTCAGTAGCCACACTAGTTGCCATAGAAATCGGGCGGTGCATGCCTTTAATCATGCTGGTGCACACCTTTAATCCCAGCCCTAGAGAGGATTATTAAACAGGAGGAAACAGCTTTCAACACGCAGCCTCATTCTGAGATTCCAGGAGGCAGGATCGCCGTTTCAGACTGAGGTCGAGGTAAAGAGCCAGTGGCTGGCTGATTTGCTTTTCAGGCCTTCAGGTTGAACAACCAATTTCTCTCTCTGAGTTTTCATTAATCGTGCTTCACAAACCCATCCTCCTGATTTCCTGTCTGGCCCTGCCACCCACCTGCTTGCCAGCTCTGGCAACAGACCTAAGCCTGTCCTTTAAACTCTCAGTCAAAGTCAACCCTGCCACTTCACTCTCAAACCCTGTGAGTGATGGCAGCCTGGCTGACAATGGCAGTGGGTGGCATGGCCTGGCACTGGCGACCTTGCAACTGTCTCTAATTTGGGGTCCTTATCTTATCAGTGTAGAGTCTACTTAATTTCTTTCTGTCCGCCTCTGAAACCTCTTGAAATTCTGCTGCAACCCTTTTCGGCCTTTTGTATCTATTCAATAGTATGTGTGTGCACGTGTGTGTGCATGCATGTGTGTGTATACATGCTTATCCTGTGACATATGATGTAAGAGCTAATAGTAGTAATTAAGACTGGAATAAAAGAACCCGTATTAACATTGGTCCAATTATCAATCTGGCAAATTGCTACCATGAACATTATTTTATGACTTTATTGTTACTCAATAAGTTTTGCCTTTGTGGAGAGAGACACAAGTGTATGCATTTATCTCTGCCGCTGACATAGCCTTCTCGGGACAACGTCTTTCCCAGGAAAAGCTAATACAATGCACCCAGGAGAATCGACAGACTGGAGGGCCCCATCTCAACTGAGAGCCTTCCCAGTCTCTTATCTATGCGTGAGGACAGTTGATACATCACACGAAGCTTCACCCACACCCTCCAAATACCTCTCCAGGCCACTCTGAAAGAGTAAGAAGAGTCCCACAGCCCTTGGTCCCATCCCAGGGAGTCCCCAAGTCTCACCATCAGAGATGCTGTCCCAGTAAGGAGCGAGGAACTCGAACTGGCCCAGTTGGATGATGTTGAAGAGTTCATCCTGGTCCCTCTCGGGACTTCGGAAAGGCGGGAAGCCACACAAGAGGATGTAGAGGATCACACCGGCAGCCCACATGTCTACCTCCAGGCCATAACCTGCAAGAACACAGTAGCAGGAAACCCCAGACAGGAGGGTCAAGGGTGACAACTATCTCTTGAGCTGTACAGCAACAGCAACAAAAGCAAAAACTCCTGCTCCCTTAAGCTGCCTATGCCGGATATTTTGTCACAATGAAAAGAAGTAGCAAACATGACAGTTGGTTGTAATATGACTTATTGGAGATGAGATGATGTACAAAGTAATTGCCCTTGTTAGAGTTAACTGTCACTTTTTACATAGCCTACAGTTCCCTGAGAAGTTGAACATAGCCTGTGATCAGTATCTATAGAGAATCATCTTGATTAGTAATTGATGCAGATAAAAGGGCCAAGCCCACTATGGGCAGTACCATCCCTAGGCTTGAGCTGAATATGAAAGCTAGTTACCAATGAACCTATGAGCAGGCCATCAAGCATCATTCTGCCTTGGCTTCTATTGCTTTCCTGGTTGCAAAGTCTCTGGTTGGAATAGCAAGCAGTCTGCCTTCAGGTTCCTGCCTTGCTTACCCACCCTGATGTCCCTAAGTTGAGAGTGACCTGGAAGTGCAAGATGAAAGAAGCCTTTTCCTCCCCTAAGTGGCCTTTTTGGTCATGGTGTTTGCCCCAGGAGCAGAACGGAACTAGAACAGTGATGCCCGGTTAAGGCTTTTATGTACCTCACTTATCCGCCCACAAACAGGCGTGGACACATTTTCAAGTACTTTCTGATTTTGGAAATGAACTCAACTGGTAGCTTTAAATGGACATTAGAAGTTCATTTCCTAAGTTCAGAGCAAGATTATCAAGATACAAATCAATAAGAGACTAAAGAGAATAAAAGTCCCTAATGGTCCCTTTGGGGCCAGCTCAATGATCATTGTCCAACTCTCAAGCACTGTTAAGTCTCAGGGACAGAGTCTTCTGCCTGCCCTTCTCTTAAAACTTTCCCTTGGCTTCTATAACGTGTTCTTTCCTAATCCAGTTACATCTTCCATGTAGCCCAGCCCCTACTGACTGCCTTCCCTCCTGCAGGCAGGACTTGTGGCTTGTCCGAGCTTAACTGTCCTTGTCCTGGCATCGTTGCAGAGCCACCAGCCCACCAGTTTAGCCATCAGACTGAAGAGTCAATACAACACATTTATTCATTTATCCAGGACTTCCCATCCTTGCCAACAGGACAACAGTGTGGGTCTATACTGATATCTTTCTATATACCAATGTCTTTAAAGTGATGTAATCTATACTGATATCTCTATACTGGTGTCTATATATTAATGTCTCTAAACTGATGTAGTCTATACTGATGTACTGATGTCTCTATTCTAATGTGGGTCTCTGTTTTAGTTGGTGTGCTTTCCCTATAAGCATATGCTAATTTGATTTGTCTCTCATCTAATTCATCTTTGCTATCAGTGTTCTCTAATATCACTATTATCACATCTCAGTGGCCATGACACCTGTTACTCAAAATCTAAACATTTCTTGTTTGGGATGTCTGCATGACTCTCTACATCCAGTAAGACTAGTCTTCTCAAGTCTCCACACACACACACCCCAGCCTCACACATGCTCTGTGTCCTCGTCACAGCTTCCAGGTCCCTGTGTTGATGAGGAGCTACCCATCCAACATGTCTTCCACCTGTGACCAAGCTTTCAACTCGCCCAGAGCCTCTCTCGGCCAGGAGGTAAATTTGCTTCACAATGCAACAACTGTCAGGCTATCTGCCATATATTTTCTGTTTATATGCTCTGCAAAGTATGTTGCCAAAGCAGTTCATTTGATCCTCACAAATGAGGAATGAATATTCATGGAGTTTGATATGAGATCCCTTTTGCTTTTAGATGGAGGTTAGTGGAGGAATTTTTTACCATTTAGCATAAGAAATGTTTCCATTTTTCTCCCCTAGTGGTAGACCTGGGTACAAATGGCCTTCTCTGAGCAGATTCTCTCCTTGTTCTCTTATCTCATTGTCCTGCCTACACACACACACACACACATGCAGCACACACAAATAAAGTTTTTTAGCAAGCATGAGTTTCAACTGAGAATTTTTTAACTGCTCTTTGTTGGAAAACACTAAGAAAAGCATTTGTTGGTTGTTGAGCTTGAGTATCAAAGAGCAGAGAGAAATACTTACCTTTCTCAGAAAGAATTTCAGGAGCTACATATGTGGGCGTCCCACACACAGTAAATATAGGCCTCACCACATATTTAGCCAGGCCAAAATCAGCCAGCTTCAAGGTGGTAGTCTTGTCTTCATTTCGCTGAACCTACAAGGAATCAAAACGTCCAAACCATCAAACTGCAATTGAGACAAAAAGGGATTTTGACACAGTGAGCGTGTGCAACCAGGTCAGAGCAGCAATAACTCGTGGAAGCTTATGGGGTATCCCAGGACAGCCACATCTAGCTGAACCTCAATGCAACCGCTCACATTTTCAACCAAAGAACCAGATTTAGGTTCACTGTGCCATAGAGGACAACATCATCGCGTTATCAGATGAGATGCTCAAATTCATGGATCAAAACCCAGTTTCTCAGTTGCACTGGGCACATGTGTATGTCCAACAGCCTCCTGCGAGTTGGACACCATGATGGACAGTGTAGATGGAAACTATTTCTGTGGGGCAGCACTGCATTATAACAAGGATCAGTGATGCTTCGAGCATAAATTATAGAAGAACAAGAAAAGGTCTGGAGGGGCACTGAGATGGCTCAGTGGGTAAAGGTGCTTGCCATCAAAGCTAATGACCTGAGTTCAATTCCCAAGCCCGACATGCTGGAAAGCAAGAGAAACTGACTCCAGCCTACACATATGATGTGACACACACTCCCACCCCACTTCAAATAAAGAAACATATGTTACACTCCACATGACACAAACCATGAGTGTGCAAACCTAGTACTACCTTCCTACAACTTCACTACAGTAGAAGTTGGTTCCATCTGGACTAAAAATAAGATAACCAGACCCAAATTCAAACTCCGGCCTCCTTCAATATTAGTAAGCACATACAAAGATCAACTGTTGTAGAATATTACTTCAACTAGGCAAAGATGTGTTACATTTGCATTTGCACAATATTACTTTAACTGTGTTTCTTTGGGACCTGAACACAGATCTCCTGTGCTCCTATCAGCACCTATGGGTGGAGCCCAAGGGGGAATGGTGGGTCTCCCTGTGTCTGAGTCATGGTGGCAGCCAGCAGTGTAGGATGGAGCAGTCCTCCTGTCTCTCCTTGCTAGGTAGACAGATGGTTGAGGTTTTGAAGAACGCAGCCCTACCTTGTAAAATCTCCTGTTAAACGTGAAACTGAAATGGCAGAATTGTGAGTACAGTTCAGATGAATGGGACTGAGTGGACTCTCTGGCCCCACAGGTAGAGGCATGATTTTCTGAACCACCCAGAAAACTGTAAAATCATGATATCTAGTCACAAGCTTCCTGACAAAGAATAAGAAAATACTAATGTGGCCTCCCAGAATTCATCCATGGCCTGTCAATCACCTGGGCAGGAAAACCCTTCATGGAAATCTGTCTATTCTAGAGAATTTAGAAATAGGGAAAAGCCTGCCTAAGACGTAGGCAATAAAGGTCTGCACAGTGGTCTGCTTGACCATTGTCTACTCTCCCCACTTGGAAGTGTGTCTAACCTGAGTGGCCCTTTGGGGCTCTGGTCTCCTGAAAACATTCCACTTTACTGTAATAAATACTACCATCTCCACACTGCACTCTACACAGCCTCAAAATTCTTTCTCTGGAGATTCCAAAGGAGAAGAGAGATTAGGATGACATCCTGATGATGTCATATTTTCCCACACTTGGTTCCGCCAGTGAACTGACATCTCTGCAAGTCGTGAGCATCATGTCTTAGTTGCTGAGTCTGGGTCAAGACTGACAGATGAGAGGGAGCAAGGACAGAGGGAAAGGCTGGAAACCCTTCCCAACAAGGCTGCCATCTGGGAAGAAGCATGCCTAGGAAGAGAGCTCTCCACAGGTTCAGAACTGCCCATCACTGGAGCCACGGAGCTTATGACTCTTATCCAACTTGGGCTCATTTTTATTCTCCACAGATTTTCTTCCTTGGTCAGTGCTGTTTCTGTCCCTGACATGTGTCCAGGGTCCGGATCCTTGTTCTGAGAACCTGGAAACCCCAGTGGGTGCCCTGCAGACCCCCGCCTAGGCTGCTACACATCATTGTCTCCTAAACTAACCTGGCCAAGAAGAAACCATAGCTGCAGACCCTAGGACAGTTCTGCCCACCCTGCACACAGACAGATGCAGCCTGAAAGAAACAAGAAAATAATTTAGGCTAAAAAATTCTAGTTGGGAAGGAAAGGAAAACAAAATATTGTTGGTGCCTGGAATCTCCAGATGGACTGTGTACATTCATCATATTTCCTAGGTAATTGTTGAGAAAAATGTTCCCCTCAAGAATATTTGCAAATATTTCCAGTCAAATGATCAGCGTTAAAAGTATCTGGCTTATTAAATAATCAAATAAAATGGATATCAACAAAATAAAATGGATATAAACAAAATAAAATGAATATCAACAAAATAAAATGGATATCAAATCTTAACTGGAAACTCCCAATTCCAAAGCATAGCCCACTGGACCAGTAAAGACCACATGAAATGTTCTGGGAACTCAGACTTTTATTTGAAGTTGCGCTGTGTTCAATGTCCTGACCATGTTCTCAGAACATCACATCGGTTTTTAGATGATTGTATGGGTCTGTCTAAAACATAGCACGCTGCTCTTTTCTCTTCACGGCTGAGCTTTTCCCACCTGGAACACCAACCGGTGCTGAGAAGGACCCGTGTGGTTCAGACTCCAGCTTTCACAGTCAGGGTTTCCTCCATAATCCCAGAGTTGTCTATTCTTATTTTATTATGTATCTATTTGTGAGAGGTGGGACACGGGCATGCATGTGTTTAGATACAAGTACGCATGCACACATGAGGACATTGGCTGTCCTCTCCCCCCCCCCCCCCCGCCCACCTTATTTAATGAAACAGGATCTCTGACTGAACCTGAAGCTTCAGCTAGGCTGGTTGTCCAGCATGTTCCTGGTCCCTACCTGTCTCCATTCTCCCCCACAGCGATTACAGGTACACAGTCATACTCAGATTTCATGTGGGTGCCAGGGATTTGAACTCAGGTCTTCTTGCTTTCATGGTAAGCACCGTTACCCACTGACCTGTCTCCTCAGACCACTTCAAAGCCGCCATTCACTTCACTATATGAATGGCTTTGTTCCACTCAAGGGTATGCAGCGTGTGAATGCTTTTGGTTTGGTTTTGTAACAGGTACTTTAATTCTTTGCTTCAGAACACTTCCTGTCTCGCCTTCTGGTCAGACCTCCACCCAAACAGGAATTCAATCTAATACATCTTCCTGCCAGATACTTGTTCACCTTAGATCCATCTGTGCTGACGCAGAAGTCCATCCCAACCTGCTTTCTCAACATCCTTCTCTGGGGTGACAGTGAATGAGGACACATTCATTCCAAAGATGGGAAGCAAGGAGAAAGACACCACACACACACACACACACACACACACACACACACACACACACACACACATGCCAGCTTGCTTTCTGACTTCTCTAAGCTTGACCCCAAGACTCCTCACAAGTCCTTATGTGACTTGGCTTCTGGTGTAGGGGAGGTGACACAAGGGTTCTCATTTGACCAAGCAGCCAAAGACCCCATTGAACGTCCACTCCAATACCTCTGTCTCCAGGCCTTTCTGACTTTCCTGGGTGTGGAAGCCAGCCTGCCCTGAATCACCTGTCCATGTCTCAACTAACCCCTAACCCACATCTCCAGGTTTATCTAAACTACTCTTTTGGACCATGTTCTTGCTGGGCTGGTCCAGGCTCTCTGCCTGCTAGGATGCTAAGAGGCGGCTGCACACAGCATGAATGACTGACCAGGTTGTCTGTGTCTATGTCCTCCTTTCCAACCACACCAGAGTGTCCTTCTATAAACCCTGGTATCCGCACTAGTAATGCAAGCGTCAGATGACCGCACTTGTGCCCCCAAAGCCTCACGACCAAAACCTCAAGAGACAAAACATTTAGACAGGGTATCACGTAGACCAAGCTCTGTAGCTCGGGATGACTTTGAACTTCTGGTTTTCCCACTTCCAGACCCCAAGTGCTAGGATTATAGGTGTGTACTCCATGACTAATTAATGCAGGGCTGGGGATCAAACCCAGGGCCTCGTGTGGTCAGCACTCTATCAACTGAGCTACATTCCTCTCCTTCGAGAGATATCTTTATTTTTGTAATCAATTTGCCTCCACTCTGCATTCCATAGCACATCAATTTAAACATGGTTATACAACCTGACATAGGCACACACATGTCCTCAATCCCAGCACTCAGGAGGATATGGCGTTCCAGCCAGCTTCCACTGTACAGCCAGAAGAGGACAGCAGAGTACAGCCCAACAGCTAGGCTTCTAGTAGGTTTGTGTATCTCTGCTAAATTCCTGCTTGAATCTTCATGGTCCTTTGGATCATTTCCCTCCTAGTACATTTTCAACTAATATGGACTGGGACAATCTTAAAAACCACATCATATCAAAATGCCAATGCCGCAGTCTAATCTATGCTGGAACATAAAGGTACCATAATCCTTGGGCATCATTTTTACAGCCACACTGTTCACAATAGCCAGGACATGGAACCAGCCTAGATGCCCATCAGCAGAAGGCACATGTACACGATGGGACTCCATGCAGTCATGGAGAAGAACGGTGTCCCGGCAGGTCAGACAAGAAAAGACTAGAACTGGACATTATTGCCTTAAGCAAAGCTACCTGGACTCAAAAGCAAAGGCCACATGTCTTCTCAAACACAGATCCTAAACTATATTTTTATATGTGTGTATATGTAGAGAGACTGAGTATGCGTCATTCTAGAAAAGAGACCCTTGAGAGGAGGAGAAGGGGCTTCACGGGATGGGGAACAAGGATGAGGGAGATAAAGAAAGAGCAATAAAATACCCAAGGGGAAGGGATCAGCAAGAGGTAGGCAGAGGTTCTAGGCCAGAGTATGGGGAAGGGTGATGAGCAAAAACAAAGGGTGTGTGAAAATGCCCTAATGAAACTCACCACTTTGTACCCCAATTTGATTTTTTTATCAAATTCTAGCCAGGGAAACAAACTCAGCTTTAACCTGAATATGCTAGGGAGCACAACAGCCCGGAGCACTGCAGCCTAGAGCTCAGCAGCTGGGATTACTGCAGCCCAGAGC